TTTAAGACTTGTGGACTTCAACTCCCAGAATTCCTGAGCTAACATGAGTGGAGGAGGAATTCTGGGAGTTGAAGTCCACAAGTCTTAAAGCTGCCAAGTTTGAAGACCCCTGCCCTATACCATTCCAGAGAAGTGGTTGACTAGTCTCTTCTTAAAAGCCTCCAGGGATGGAGCACCCACAGCGTCTGAAGGCAAGGCATCCCTTAGGTTAATACACTGAAAGTTAAAATTGGCACATTCACTGTCACTATCACTTCTCATGAGTGTTTGATGGGATTGAATACTGTATTACTTTTCAACAAAAGCTAGCAAAGATTTTGATTTTGCAGACCAGTGGGGGGGCAGGTCTTGGGGGATCCCCAAGTGTCCTTGTAATATATTTTGAGAAAGACTACTCTAGTGGATGCACATTGGATACAGAAGTTGGGGGTATACATTGGGTCCTCTCTGCACTGACGGGGGGGAAACTAATCTTACTTCAGTCCTCAGTTTCTTTATTTAGAAAATTGTATCCACGCTGTCACTGCATAGATAGGAGGCATTTAAAAAGCACTCCTCTTATCACTGTTGCTAAAGCCAAAATTAAACTAAAGGGGTAAATAAGATAGCAAGATGAGGGGAGAGCTATAGGAAGAACTTAAGGGCATGACGTTTGTGCTGTCCCAATGACATGTAGTCCTTGACTTACAGCAGTTTGTTTAGTGACCATTCAAAGTTACAATGGCACTGAAAAAAGCGACTTACGACCATTTTTCACACTTACGACTGTTGGACCATCCCCATGGTCACTAGATGTCATGCCCCTGTTGGAGACTGACTCCAAGGGAGAGGAGGAACAGCCGACAGGGAGTGGAAGTGTGGCTCCAGAGGTTGTGGAGGAGGCTGGGGAAGGGCAGAGGCCGGCTGGGCAGTCAGAGGAGGACCCAGGCCCATCCCCTCTCCATCCTAGGGCACACAGGGAGGAGAGGATAAGGGAGAGATGTGAATGGGGTGGTCTACGGGGGAGGAAAGGGCCTTGATCCTTGTGGCCTGTGTGGAGACTGTGAATTAGAATTTGACTCAGTGTCTGTGTTTGCACAAATTAACATGGTTACTGAAATGTCCCGTTTTTTGGTCTACACCCCAAACTATAAACTCATGGAATATGCTGTGTTCAGATAGCACACCAAGCTATCAAAGATCTAACGAATGCTAAAGTTAAGCAAGCTTAGCATGTTGTATAAATGTAGCCACTGGGTTTGTAACTGACTTGGTTAACGCATTGTGTACATACGGCTAGTGAGTACAGGTAGTCCTTGACTTAAAACAGTTCATTTAGTGACCGTTCAAAGTTACAACATTACTGAAAAAAGTGGCTTATGAACATTTTTCACACTTACAACCATTGTAGCATCCCCATGGTGATTTACATTTGGATGCTTAACAACTGACTCGCATTTATGACAGTTGCAGTGTCCAGGAGTCATGTAATCACCTTTTGTGACCTTCTGACAAGCAAAGCCAATGGGAAGCCGGATTCACTTAACAGCCATGTTATTAATTTAACTTCTGCTGTGAATTCGTAAAACGGGGAAAAACTCAACAACTTAACAAATTTTTCACTTAACAACATACATTTTGGGCTCAATTGTGGTTGAAAGTTGAGGACTACCTGTATACAAAATTCCACTGCTTCTTCCTATGGTCACAACACAGATTAGATCTACATGCACAAGCTGCATGCATTTCATTGAGGCTTAAAGAAAGCCTCAGATGGGGTTCCAATTTTAAGATGTCTGTTACAGATGTCAATTGTGCTTTCTTTTTCAGGGCAAATTCAACATTCCTTCCATCATCAAAGAATCAACATTCCTTCCATCATATGAAGAATGGTTAAAGGAACTGGGCATGGCTAGTCTAGTGAAGAAAAGGACAAGGGGAGACATGATAGCAGTCTTCCAATATTTGAGGGACTGCCACAGAGAGGAAGGGGTCAAGCTATTTTCTAAAGCACCTGTAGGCCAGAAAGGAACAATGGATGGAAACTGAACAAGGAGAGATTTAACCTGGATATAAGGAGAAACTTTCTGACAGTGAGAACAATCAACCAATGGAACAGCTTGCCCTCGGAAGTTGTGGGAGCGCCATCACTTGAGACTTTCAAGAAGAGATTGGACTACCATTTGTCAAAAATGGTGTAGGGTCTCCTGCTTGGGCCGGGGGTTGGACTAGATGACCTATGACTCTGATTATCTGTTATCTGTTATTCTGCAAATTATTTGCTGAAAAGATACTGTCAGGTGTTAGCCTTCTAAATTCCTTTGACCATGTTTCCTGGAAGATGTTGGCACTATCCAACTCTTTCGCTGGCAATGGCCATCACAGAGAGGATTCAAATGATTTAATGTGGTACCCAGCTGATCAGGAGAAAGTACTTGTTACCATTGAAAGCTAACACATAATGGAGAAATGATTTGAGACTGTGAAAAATCAGGTTTTTACGGGGAACACTGCATCTTGTGAATATCTACAGAAATCTTTTAGTGGCTGGAGACTTCTGGAGGAGATATGGCAAACTGAAGATACTTCTGAAAAAACAGACCATAGCAAAGACCAAGAAATTGGTGAATAGAACCTTTCCAGATGAGGAGAGGACAGGAGATTGACTACGTGCTCTGGACAGCTGCTGTTCATGAGGAGACAGCAGGATAGCCCTTTTCTGTGAGTCTGAAAGCTAGGAGACAAGGTATTAGCCACCTTGCTCACCACCACGGCGAACCCTTTTAAACGCCACCAAGTTCACAAAGCCCACTTTCTCATCATTTTCAGAAAGTGCCTATTAGCCATCTTAAAACTGTTGGGAATCTCTTCATGGTTGGGAAGCTTTCTTTCTGTCTATCCAAATCCCACCAAAATAGCCTTGAATAAGGATGGTTGCAAATACCATTTTGGACTCTGTGAATCTCCAAACTGCCCTTGGAAGTGCTGTGTAGGGTGTTACTGGAGGGACACCAGAATGGGAAGCAATTGGCCACGGGGTTATCTGAAGTCAAGTCTGACTTGATGACACTCATCCAACTGATCTAAAGCTGGATATAAAGGTGGGGTATAAATTAAGTTAATTAAATAATCTATAGACCATGGTGGAATTTCTTCCTTGGGAGGCCTCTGGTGTTCTTCCCTTCAGTCTTCCCTGGTGCCCCCCACCAACCACTAGAGTGCTAAATCTCCAGCTTCTTACCTGAGGTTTTCAGAACTGAATTCTGATTCCAAAAATCGAAGAAACTGGTCGCGCCCCACAGGATCTTTCAACACCTCATCTATTGAGAAGCCCCATCTCTTGACCCGATGTTGGGAAGGCTCTTTGCTAAGTAAAAGGACAGAGAGGAAACCATTGCGACCATCAGCATATTTTTCCTTGTCAAATCCTCAAATTTTCATTTGGAGCGGCTCAACTGAAAACTGCTTGCAGCAATAAATTAATGAAACTGGAGAAAATGCTTGCAAACTCCTGCTTGATTTATGAGAAGAAAGGAATCTGTGTGTATGAAAACTGATGATATGTTTCCCTTTTATAACACCTGAAAAGAGACACACATTGACTCGGTAGTACTTATGAGTAAAAGGTGGATATTAACTGTCATAAATACAGATAGTCCTGGACTTACAATCGCAACGGAGGCCTGAAATTTATGTTGCTATGTGAGATGTTTGTTAAGTGAGTTTTGCCCCATTTTACAACTTTCCTTGCCACAGTTGTTAAGTGAATCATTGCAGTGGTTAAATTAGTAACCCGGTTGTTAAGTGAATCCGGCTTCCCCATTGACTTTGTTTGTCAGAAGGTGGCAAAAGATGGTTGCATGACCCTGCGACACAGCAACCATCATAAATATGAATCGGTTGCCTAGCACCTGAATTTTGATCAGGTGAACATGGGGATGCTGCAATGCTCCTAAGTGTGAAAAATGGTCATGTCATTCTTTTTCACTGCCGTTGTAACTTTGAACAGTCACTAAATGAACTGTTGTATATCGAGGACTACCTGTATAGTATGCAATATTACATGGATATTGAATTGCTGTTCCATGGATTGCGGAGTCTTTGATCCGTGGTAGTTCTTCCTCATGAAGTGGAGAAATAAGTTTTACTGATTCCTGAGCGTCTGGGTGTGTGGGACCACTTTAAACTTTCTTGCAGTAGGAGCATTCTGTGCCTCGAACATGCCCTCACGGTCTCTAGATTCAATCTTATATAAATCACTCTCACACAACATGCTAAACTTGACTTAATGTTAACCATGGTCAAAGTATTCACCCATCAAAGTTTCACAGATGACGGAGCACAGCCAGTTAGAGCTTTTAGTCATAATTTTGGTTGGCATTCCAACAGATTTATTTTCTGTCACCTCTGTTTTCAAAATAAAAGCATCCGTATCCTCTACAGGAGCAATAGCAGATACTTTTCTTCTCTGCGCTGTTTACCTGGAGGACTAATAGTTGTTTAAGCACAAACTAGCCATTAATTCATAAGATACCTAAATTAGCTAATGTATGATAAACCAAGGTTACAGTCTGTTTTTAAAGTACTTCTTTAACATCACAGCTCACAAGCCATGACAAGCCATAAATGTCATGGGGCTTATTTTCTGCAAAAAAAAAAGTATATTTGTGCAAATGAATATTGTCGTGCCTTACCATTCTTTGAAAAGTTCGGAATAAAATGACAGCAAATATTAGATGAGCGTAATGAAATGGTCATAGATAGAGAGTTCTAGCAAGGGTGGGGTCACATGGCATTTGGTTTGGTCATGCCAACTCTTCTAATGTAACTTGCCATTGTTATGTCATAAGAGATCTGGTGTAGGTTTACCAGATATTGCTTGCTGGAAGCAATAAAGTCCTATAGTACATTTCAATTTCTTGAAGCCGTCTAGTTACATCTGAGTACATCTGAGTTTTTGTCACATGCACAAATCTGGAAGTCTTCGCTTCTTAATACAGAAAAGATTGAAGTACTCTTTTAAAAATGGAAGGTTTTTTTTTTACCTTGTTTCTAAGTCCCAAAACACACTGTCATCATTTATCCAGGGATTGGAGGGTTCCGCAGGTGTTATAAAGGGATCATAATCCGTGTACTGCTCTGAATAAGCAATTAAACTGTAATGTAAAAAGAAAAATAAGCATACTGGGAAAGTTTTGAAATGCTTTAAATATATCACTATACATTTGAAAATAATAATAAAAACATGACTGCTAAGTTGTTTTCTCTTGAATCTGTCATGGAAAGGATGATGTTATATCACCAAGCATCAGAATCAAAATGTTTCATAACTAACAGAAGTTCTAGCAATTCAGCCTCAGGGTCTTTTGGCAGTTATTGTCTGATCTCATTTCATTAACTGCATTTCATAACCACTACAGATTAGGTGTCAGAGAGGGAAAAGCTTTCACTTTGGGATATACAGCAAGCAGCAAATGAAGCAATGAGGGAAAATGGGAAAGAAAAAGGAATGAAGGCACCATCATCTGCGAAGATTATAGGGAATGAATGAATGAATGAATGAATGAATGAATGAATGAATGAATGAA